AGTCTTCTTGTTGCCGTAGATGTTAATAGCTTTACTAGTAGTAACTGATCAATAAATACTTGAAACCTACGATTTGAAGTTGGTATAGAATTTGAGAGTATCTGCAACATTCCATGATTTGTTATGATGTTCTTTGTTTGTATTATTAAGCTATTGTTTTTTTTTAATTTTATATAACTTTATTTTTCCATTTATTTATTTATTTTAATTTTACCAGAGAGTGAGAGAAACCGGGGAAGGAAAGTGAGGGGGGAAGAAAGCCGCCAGTTCCAGGACCCGAACTGCAGTCAGCCATGTGGGAGTGCATTACCCCCAACTACCATGCCACCCGCTGACCCCTTGTTAAACTATTATTACTTTGCCTCCTTTTCAGAAGATTTAGGGCTAAACAAAGATTTAGTCAGGTAGTCTAAACAAGCTTTCCCTCTTAAAAAAACAGTTTGTTTCTGGTTTTCTGAAACAAGTAGAAAATCCAGTCATAAACACCTAATGTTTATGTCATTTGTACTTGAACCCATGTTTGTGGTCAACTAAAATTCATGTGACATTTGGTTGTTTTTATTTTGAAAGGAATTTCTGCTTCGGGTAGAGAAGATGCATAACCCAAATTTTTTGTCTAATCTGTTGCAAGGAAATAAACTGAGGACATGCACACTCACACATATACACACTTTACAACTGAATCAAAGCTCTGAGTTATGTTTGCAGAATTTTGGCTACTCAAAATTCTTATTTTCTGTAGGAGTTTTGATTGATTAAGTTCATTTTACTCTTAATTTAAGAGGAATGATAAGAACTTTGAAAGGTCAGATTTAAAAGGTTATGAAATTTAAGGGCGACCATTGATATTTGCTAGTGTTGAAGTACAGGTTTATTAGTTTCTGCAGGCATAAGCTGAAAGATGCGGCCTTCTTTATATTGATTAGCTGTTAAAAATAAAATACAGAAAAAATATTACTAATTCAAATAAATGAGAGGTTTTCTGAATAAGTAAAAATTCAGAATGTAGACTTTTAAAAAGTAAGATTTTACTAATTCTGATAAAATAGTTAAAGTTGGCTAGCAGCAGATCTTAGAAAATTTTAATGAATAGGTAGAAGTAGTTTACAATTTGAATATTGATAGTTTACATCTAGATGACTTCTTTAATTCCTGGAGTGCCTAAAAACAACTTGTTCCAAAGCAACTGTCTCCCCAGCCATCTTAGGTCACTTCTAATTCACTGGATGTGTCATTTCTTAATAATTTGTAAAAAGAAGAGTTTCATAACAGCTTCAGTCCTGAAATCTATCGTATTTTTTTTCCTTTGGCAAACATTGAAAGAAGGGTAAGATTGTTCTTTCATATTATTTGCTTCTAGAAGCTTCATCACTTTAATTCAGTTTTATTATAAGAACAAATGAAAATACAAAATATCAGTAAAAATTTAGGGCTATATAGACAGGGGACATTTTAAATAGGACTGCTAGCTTTATTGGGATTTTGATATCCTGTCAGATCTTGTTTCCTTACTTTCATCTAAGATCTGCATTTTGTACAGTCCTTTTAGATATGTCAAAAAGTTTTAATGAGAGTTAAACTCATTGTGGAAGGGTACCTAGGAAGGAAATCCTGTATCTTAATGAAAACTTTCAGGTTTGTGTAAGTATAAAATGAGATGAGATGAGATGAGATGATGAAGTAAGATAACGTATGTGAACACACTTTATAAACTGTAAAGAATTATATGTTTATATATTATCAACAGCATAATCCTTTCATGGAGATGCTTGTTTCCTAGTGACTATTTCCCTTTTTTTTAAATCTTAGAAATGCTAAATAAATGTGATTGGGACCATCAGTTAGCGTAATGGCTATGTCACTGGACTCCCACGTAGTCGACCGCGGTTCAAGTCCTGGACCTGGTGGCATAAACTCACGCCGGGCGTGTGTGCGTGCGTGCCCAAGATCCCAAGAGGAGAATGGAGGAGAAGGGATTACAGTGTGGCCATCCTCCCTGGGGGGTGATTTCTCGCTTTCTGTCTCTCTGTCTCTCTCTGTCTGCCTGGCGAGCGCACGCGCCCTATAGCAAAAACCTCTCCAAAATAAATAAATAAATAAATAAAAATAAATGTGATTAATATTTGTCAAATGTCTCATATGTGCTAATGAAAGCACTCTTAACAATTTAAATGCCAGCTCTTCCACATAAGTAGAATACTTGTCTATAATTTAAATGTTACTTGTTACTTTCTCTCTTTTCAGAAGTATTGAATTAATAATGAATACATTATTTTTGTATAAGGTTCAAGGATGCCAGCTTATATAGGAAAACTGAGAGAGGCCATCTCTAACACCCCTTCCCTTTCCCTCTCCAGATTAGCCAACATTTGGAATATACCCATGTAGTTTGTTTTCTTTACACAGGTCTAATATCCCTTATCCAAAATGCTTAGGACCAGAGTGTTTATGATTTCAGGTATTTTTGGATTTTGGAATATTTGCATATGAATAATGAAAGATCTTGGTGATATGACCCAAGTCTAAACATGAAACTTATTTATGTTTCACATAGCCTGAAAGTAATGTCATACAATATTTGTATATTGCAGCATTGACTCTGACTGACCCATCACATGAGGCCAGAGGTCAGCCATGGAATTTTCCTCTCTGGCTTCTTTTTTTCTTTTGCTATAGGGCATGGGCACTTGCCAGAAAGACAGAGAGAGACAGAGAGACAGAAAGCGAGAAGTCACCCCCCAGGGGGGATGGCCACTCCGCAATCCCTTCTCCTCCATTCCCCTCTCGGGATCTTTGGCATGCACACATGTGCGCCTGGCATGAGTTTAAGCCACTGGGCCCAGGACTTGAACCACAGTCGACTACATGGGAATCCAATGACATAGCCATTACGCCAACTGCTAGTCCCCCTCTCTGGCTGCTTCTTGGTGCATAAAAAGATTTGGATTTTGTAGCATTTTGAATTTTGTATTTTCAGATTAGAAATGCTCAACCTGTATTTATATAATATGTGCTTTTCTTTAAAGACTAAACATTAATGGAATTATATTACAATTTAAATTTTCACTGGTAATATGTCATTGATAGTTTTCCATGGCAGTAAACATAGGCCCCCTCATTATTTTGGACAAACACATAAGATTTGATAAAATGAGCACCTAAGTTAAAGCGTAAGATCCGTAAGGTCAGGGACATGGCCTATTTTATTGCTTCTCTGCCTCTAGCTACTAGGACAGTGCTTGGCATATGGTAGGTACTCAGTAAAAGTCCAAATGAACAATTTATTTAACATACAGATTATTTCTAGTTTGGGCTATGAAAAATAATTGCTTCTCTGAAAAAGCATGCTTGTTTTTTCCCTGTTTATCTTGCAAAGTCACTTTCCAGGGTAGATATCTGTACATATTTTTGAAGACATGGTTTTCTTTTTTATTTTTCCTGAACCCTTTATATTAATACTACAGAGACACACTGTTCATCTGTGAAGTTTTTGGGTTTTTTTTTCTCCATGTCATTTGCTATTTCTTTTCTATCATTCTGTTCTCTCATTCTCAGGCTCCTGTCAGACCAGTGTTAAAACTTCTGGATAGATCCTCCACGTTTTTTAACCTTACTGTCTTACTTTCTATCATTGCATCAGATTTGATGCAGGAAAGATCAGTAAATGCGCTGTTTGCCATCTTGATCCAGTTTCCTGGCATACTTCTTTTTATCCCACAGACTGACTTTTTTTTCTTGATGTCTGTCATTTTATATTTATCTCAGCGGTCTGTTCCTAAAAGAATATGACTCATATTTTAAAATAATCAATGGAAGATTGATATTTGCTTGACATACTTTTGTTCTATAGTCAACCTTTTTCAAGCTGTCTTTTTACAAAACCCATAATACCAATTTAAAAATTAGATCCTCCTGATTTGTGCTATTGATAGCGAGCCCAGTCACATTAAAAAATGTGTTGGTATCTTACTCACTCATCAGGCCCAGGCAGCTCTGTGTGCTGATAAGGCCTTGACGCCTCTCCAGATGTTTGAGTGCTAGCTCCAGGTGCAGCGAGCAGAGTGCTTGAAGCTGGCACACAGATTCTCAAGCACAAGGATGAGTGCAAATCAGCTGTAGGTCCTCAGTCTCTCAGAGTAATGGTTCTTAAGCCACAGTCCTTTTTCCTCCAATTCTTCGACCTGTCAGGATCCTGGGCATGCATGAGTGCATCTGTGTGGTTTTTTTAAGCCAGTGGGACTAGGACTCGAACCTGGATGTCGGATCCCGCTTCTTCTGCACAGTACTTAACCACTGAGCACCAGGCTAGCTCCTATTTTTAATTTTTGGAACACCTCCACGCTGTTTGTTTTCCATAGAATTGTACCATTTTACATTCCCACCAGCAGTGCACAAGAGTTCTAATTTCACCACATTCTCACCTCTAGTTTTTTCTGTTTTTTTGGTATTAGTCATTCTTTTTATTTTTAGAGAGAGAGAGATTTTTGCTATAAGGTACACGTGCTTGCCAGAGAGAGACAGAGAGAGAAAATGCAAGAAATCACCCTCCAGGGATGATGATTTCCAGGACTTGAACCATGGTTAACTACACAAGAGTCCAGCAATGTGCACCGTTGGCTGGTCCTGATATTGGTCATTCTAATGACTGTGAGGTGGAGTCTCATCAGCATTGTGATTTGCATTTCCCTAATGATTAGTGATGTCAAGGATCTTTTCATGTGTGTATTGACCATTTGTGTATCTTCTTTGGAGAAACGGCTATTCAAATACTTTGTCCATTTTTTAATTAGGTGACTTTTTTGTTTGTTTTGGTTGTTGACTTTTAGAAATACTCTCTACATATTCTGATATTAATCTCTTATCATTTATATGATTCATAAATCTTTGATTTTTTTAAAATCTGTGAAAATATGCTTTTTAATCCCCAAGTATTACATTCTTAGATTGAAAATATTCTTAAATCTTGGAAGTTCTTACATTCGGTTTTCATTTTTGCTTAGGCCAGTACTAAAGTGGAAGTAGACATGGAGAAAGCAGAAAGCCTGCAGGTGACAAGAGGAGACTTCTTTGCTTCTTTGGAGAATGACATCAAACCAGTGAGTATGCGTATTAAGTGATGTATTGAGTTGTCGGAGAAGTCACGACATGTTTTTTTTTCTGTTTTTCTATGCAAAAGTGCATCATGACTTTTCCAACAACCCAATATAAGCTAACTAATAATAGCAATAATAATAACTCAGAAGGAAAATACATGCCATTTTACCCAGTATTACAGAAGGTCTTTTTTCTCTCCCCTCCACTTTTATTTTTTTTTAATTTGTTCCATGAGAGAGACTCCTCCCTGCCCTAGCAGAGTCCTCATGCCACCACTCACCCACAGTCTCAGCCAGCCTGAATCACAGACATGTACCTACAGCCCAGCATGCACAGGGAGGCCCCAGGATGCAAACCCAGGACTTGCCCATGTGGGTGCAGCTGTGCCGCTGCCTGGACCTCATATGTAGTTTCAAAAATGAGAAAATCTTAGCGCAGATGCTCCTCACCTTACAGGAGGATTACATCGCGATAAACGATGTACGTTAAAATACCATAAACTGCAAATGAGTATAATACGCTTCACCCACCAAACATTGCTCAACCTAACCCACCTTAAATGTGGTTGGAAGACTTGCGTTACCCTACAATTGGGCAAAACTATTGAACATAAAACCTATTTTATAATAGAGTATTGAATATCTCATGAGATTATTAAAAAATATCGTACTGAATATGAAAACCAGAGTAGTCGTGTGGGCTCTCAAAGTAGTAGTCATACTAACGGGTATGAGCTGAGATTTGGTAGTGTGGGTTTGCCTGTTCCGAATGATCAGTGCTATTGAGCATTTTTTCATATACTTACCGGCCATTTATTTTATATTCATGACAATAATTATTGCTTGGCAGATATCTCATTAAAAGACAAAGGTCCATTTGTATTCGTTTAAGCCTCGTCTGCTTTGTAATTCAAAACTTACTGAGCATTGGAAATGGCTTAATCTTGCTGTTGCCATTTGTAATACAATAGTTACCAAAATGTTAGAGACTGGCCTAATTGTTCTAGATCTAGATTTCCTCAAGGATAAGCAATTTAACTATGAGGCAGTGAGATGTAAGAATTCACTTCTGTTTATTCCAACAGTCCAGAGGTCAAAACAAAACGAAATGAAATGAAATGGCGGGATATGAAAGGAAGACAGGTTGTGTAGCTTGGGAAAGTCACTGTTTTACAGTTCAGGTGCCTTACTATTTCTGCCATACCCTAGGAGTATACACTTGGAACTATTCATGACCCAAGCCAGCCAACCTACGTATTTCCTAGAACAGCCACCCACCAGTATTTATCAGGCACTTCCTTTCAAACTTTTTAGGGAGCCACTGAAATTTTCAATATTCAGGCCAAAGAACTGTATTCCCAGAACCAAAGGGCTGGAATATGCGAGGGCACTACCCAAAGAGCGATCTGGAAAATGGTTTTGTGCAGAGTAATGAGACGTGAGACTTCTGGATGCTGTTTCAGAGACAGTATTATAAGCACAACTTGCTGTGAGGTGCAAGTTCCAAGAACTGTTCAAATTATTCCATACATCAAACAAAGTTATATGGCATGGGACCAGCAGGTGGTGTGGTGGTTAAGGGCGCTAGACTCCCACATGGCCAACCATGGTTCAAGTCCCGGACCTGGTGGCTTGCTTTCTCACTTTCCCTCTCTCTTTCTCTCACTCTCACTCTGTCCCTCTCTGGTCAAATTTAAATAAAAAAATAATAAAGGTTAATAAAAATAAATCTTTAAAACAAACAAATAAAGTTATGATTCCACAATCAAAAATTGACTTTTTGATGGATGTGCTCATCTTTTAAAAGTTTAAACTTTCTGTGCCCACTGGTGGCGGGAAGGTTAAGGCATCTGGATCCCACATGGCCAACTGTGGTTTGAGTCCTGGACAATGTTTGAAAAAAAAAAAAAAAAAAGTTTAAACTTTCCAAATACAAACTTTTATTTGTACATTGGACCGTGTTTTCCTACTCATTTATTCTCCTAATCTTATGAAAATCCAACTCAATGTTAAGTACTAAAGTTATCGACTACTTTGGCAGCTATTTTGAGGGAAGTTATAATCTTTGAGATTAGAAGTTGAAAATGAAGAGGGATATGACTTAAGCTCCAACAACAGTGAACATAAATGGAATTATTATATATATTAATTGCCTTTTATTACTATTTCTAACCCTACAGTCTTTCATGACAGCTGCTCATTTCTGTCTCATCCTAAATCTTATATTTATACACATATGTGCTACCTGGGTGCCATTTAACCTCCGTCCTCTACCACGAAGTCACTGTGAACATAATTCCTCATTGCCATTTTTATATTCTCGTTTTGATCCATAGCACCTAGAGTCAGTATTGGGGTAGTGTTTTTGCCTGCTGAGCTGTTTCTGATTCTAAATCCATAATCGCTTTTTCTCTTTGTTCTCAGCAGAAAGGCCACAACCTGCATACTCTAGAGAAACAAGCACTTTGGAACATAATGTTTCTCTCAGGGATCACGAGGGTTTGTGCTCTGGTAGAACCTGGGCCTAGACTCTATTGCCTTTATTTCACTAGGGCGCTCAGCGTAGTATTCCCCTCCACCACCACTTGTATAGTGTGTAGAAATGATTACTCAGCCTTCATACCTGTAAATATTTTAGTTGTTAATACTAATGCTCAGAATGCTTTAAACTGTCTTTTTCCTCAATAGGCATTTGGCACAAACCAAGAGGATTACGCAAGCTACATTATGAATGGTATCATCAAATGGGGTGACCCAGTTACTCGAGTTCTGGATGACGGAGAGCTGCTGGTTCAGCCGACTAAAAACAGTG